GTGGAGGGAGAGAGGAGTACCGCGCAACAACTTTCGGCAAAACAAAATGGCGACCCGCGTAGTTTGGCTTGATTCGAAAAGTTAAATAGCTGTAGCATCTTTGTAGACGACCAAATTAATTTACTTTTGTGTTTTAACATAATTTTTTATCTTTGTATTAGTTTGATTGTCCACACTGATAGACAGTATTCACAAAGTGTTGACAAAGAGAGAGAGGAGGAGGAGTAGATCTTGCGAGAACTTCCTGGCCAAACAAAATGGCGACCCGTGTAGTTCGGCTCGTTTCGAAAAGTGAAATAGCCATAGCATCTTTGTAGACGACCAAATTAGCTTACTTTTGTGCTATAACATCATTTATGATAATAATTGTAGTTCTATCTGAATTGTGGAAGCTCTCTCAGTTTCTTGAAACCTCCTAGGATTTGACTCCTTTTTTATGAAGTTGTCTTATAATTCCAATCAATATTGGGTAGATCTAAATCTAATGATTATTTCTGACATTGTTTGTCTTGTTCATCTCTCATATCATAATCATTTGAGTTTGAGCAAGTAAGTTGAAAGACGCCTGGATAACAATAACAAGACGGTGCAACTCAGTAAGCTAGGTGCTCGCTGTAGCTTCATGTTTTGTATTGTGGTCGCTCCCCAACAGTAACAATCATTCAAACCAAGACAAGTGGGCAATCTCAGATTTTGGTCCGAAGCTGAAGAGTTATGGGCTTTGTTCAGGAGAAGTGGTCCGGGCCTAAATCCATAGAAATCATACTGAACCCCCCACTTCTTCTCTAAAATTCTCTACTTTTACCTTTTCTGTTCTCTAGTCATGCATGTTTTACCGATCATCTCATAATAAGCGAACAACTGTCGATTAAAGATTGTGACCTGTGACGTCTTGCACACGGTATCATTTTCCTTAGCATGTGGGGTGCATATACTGTTAGCAGTCAATGACAATGGGTAAACCTCTTTTCTACTCATTCAGTAGTAATTTTGGGACCTAATTGAAAGTATTGCAAATATTTTTTTCAACCTAATGATGAAAGAATTGAAGGAAAAAAAGGGCAATTTAGCACCAACTCTACCTCTCAAATATGAATCGAAAGTCATTTCTTCCCTTCAATGCATTTTTGAAAAATTATGTTTATGATTATGTACACTTAATTTAAAAATAGTTTTGTCACAAATTAGTAAAAAAAGTCAACTTATTTATATTGATCCCATTTACAAATTTATATATATATTTTTTTAAAAAATATTATTTTGGTTGGATTTGTTTTTGTAAAATAAGATGATTTTCATATTAATTACCATGTTTCTTCTACAAATAAGTCTAAGTAATGGCTACCATTTTCATCGTATTTTTGTCCATCCTCAGATGCAAGTTCAGATTGCAGCCTTTTGCAAAGATTTCAATGAAAAAACAGCCCACCTGAAACCAGGTATCCCGATACCTACAGAAGTCAATGTCAATGTGAGCTCTTTACTTTTTATGACTTCGAAATTAAAGTTTGAAATATTTCCTTGTCAAGATTTCTATTTGTGATGAGAAGTCTTTTGGTTTTTTTCCTTCTTTTTTCTTTTGAGCTGTATGCTTCTTGTAATTACTGAATTGTGTGTGTTGAATGGTTTGCTTGTTTGTTGGGTTTTTTTTCTTATTTATGGTTGTTTTTTTTTGGGAGGGAGGGAATCTTTTGCTCTGATTGTAATATATGGTAAAAATAAAGGAATTATAAAGGAATGGAGTTAGAATCAGGTAGGAAAAGTTACACATTTTATTTTGTGTGGAATTTTTTTTTGTATGTGTGTGTATGTGTAACAGCAATGGGAGGGGCATTCAAGGAGAAGACATCTTCAGGATTTTTTCTAAGCTATGATAATCCTTTTTATTTTGCGTAGACATTAAAAAAATGTTGTTTTGTTCTAGTTTGTCTTAATTTTTAGTTCAAAATGCTGATTTTTCTGTTCAATACAACAACATAATTTTACAATTATTTATAATACTTGTACATCCCTGGTCATGGTGATGGTAACAGCTGTTGTCATTTATTTTCTCTTTTACATGAAAGCCTGATAGAAGCTTCAACATCGCATTTCTGAAGCCACCAGTGAGCTACTTCTTACTGCAGGCAGCGGGGAGCCAGAAAGGTGCCACAAAGCCAGGTAGGTTACAGTGATTTCATAGCCTGTGTTCTTCCACTTCAGTTATAATGACATTTTAAACTTTTCTTGTTTCAACAGTGGTAAAAGCTATGTATAGTGCCTCCCACCCCATCATGTCATCTTGCCTGTCCTACTGTACATCTATTGGGGTCACAGTGAGATTTATACTCAATTTTTCTTTTGCCCTTGCCATAGTGTCTACCTATTTCCAGTATGTATTTCACCGTTCTAGTGAAAAGTGGAACAAATTAAGAAGGAAAATAAAAGACTGTTGTCATATGAACACTTGTCATTTATAAAGTAAGTATGTTTCTGGTTTTGAATGTAATCAGTGTTTTGTTAATTCTGTCCAGCGTAAGCTTATGAAGAAAATGAGAGTGGATAGTTCACATGATAATGTGAACAGACAAATAAACAATTTGCAAATGTGCCTTAAAACAAGATCTCCAGCCCTCTCCGAAATCATCTTGTTTTTCTTGTATTTTTCATATGTCACTTACTTTTAGCATACCTTATCAAAACTAAATCCAGTACATCTAGGATAAAACAGTGGGGATATGTATGTGTTGCTGCTCTTCTTGGTGTCTCAGTTCCACTAGAAGAATTGTTAAACATTACATTCCAGTGCATTCTTTTAGTCGTTTAGTCTAGGAGCTGGGGAGGGGGGGTTATCACTATTTAATTGTTGTTTTTTTTACTTCTTTTTTTTTCTTGCATGTTGTTTTGATTTCTGTATGTTTCTGATTCTCAGGTCAACAAACATGTGGAATTATTACACTGAAGCATGTTTATGAAATTGCAAAAATAAAAAGTGAAGATCCTGCTTTTGCCACCTACACTTTGGAGCAAGTCTGTAATTCAATCATAGGTCAAGCTCATGGAATTGGAATTAAGGTAAGAGACTCCTATAGAGTGTGAAGACTATCGCTTTTTTATCATATCAGGGCGCTTGTAGATGTGGTTTTTCCAAGAAAGTCAGCACAGTAATGGTCTCATGTGCCTGGAAGAAAAGTGTTGATTGTATGAACTCAATTTAAATCTCTTAGGAGATGGGCTGCTTAGATGTTGCCTGGCTGGACAAACTTTGGCTGAGAGGTCTCCAGCGTCCCAATAGACGGACAGAGATGCTCATGTAAAAAAGCATCCCCACATATGAATTTAACTCACGTCTTCCACATACAACAGAGAATAGCCTAACCACTACACCACAGGTCCTGGTCATTTGCAGAGGACAGATTAGGATAAATAACAGTTCTATCTATAGAAAAGCACAAAGAGCTCTCCATGTTACAGCAGCCCTGCCCAATCTCTCAAACATTTGCAGGTAGCGTGTAAAAGACAAAGGTCTTTGATAGAGGCTGTGTCCTTGGGAAAGATACGTTGGGGATCTCTTTTTTTCCATTTTTCATACCTTGAAACTGCGATTCTATTCATTTGTTAAAATCCTGCTAACGACCAATTGAATGGTTATATTGTTCCAAATTTTTTCTTGAAGACTGATGTACAAAAATGCCAGTGTAAGTTTTTGGGTGAGCTCAATTTGCTCCATACCGGCATCTGTTAGGGGCTCCATCCTGGCATGCAGGAGACCAGAGTTCGTTTCCAGAGTAACTTGCAGGGATGTTGTACCCCTCTCATCTCAAGTTGGCTCTTACAGTACCTGCAAGGTTGAAGCCCACCTTCCAAATGATCTAAATTGGATCATATTTATGAGAAAAAAAAAACCAACATAAGATTTGCTCCTCGGCATATGGTCTTGTATCCTTTGAAGGGACACTTTACCATATTTTCCACTGTTCACTCATTGCAAACGGGTACTTATCTATCGACATGGAGAGAGAGAGAGAGATCTGAATAATAAAAGTTGAGGACTGAACAGACTGCTGATTTTTATATACGGATGTGCTCGGGGTACTGTGCTGGTAAATTGAAGTTCTTAGGAAGTTGTCCATTCCTTTGGTTCGAAGAGACACAAGATTATATATTATTACGATACCTCATCTGTGAGCTGAGGCTATGCTTTGACTTCTTGAAGTAAACCATAATTTTGTGTATTTTTTTAAATTTCTGGGATCATGGTTAAGCCAGGCGCTCGTCAAAATATCAAAAATTAACATTTTTCTGCCCATTCGGCAATTTTTGTAAATTTATATTGACTCAGCACCATTAATGTTAATTTGAAAACACATTTCTTTGTGGATTTTAATTTTAAAAAATACCCATCTATCCTGAATAGAAATCAAGGTACTTGCAATTGAAGAAGGAGGGGGGGGGGGTTGTCTGGTGCCAGCACCAGGTGATACCACCCCCCCCCCCCCCCCCCCCCCTTCAATTATTGCTGACATATCGACTTCATTTTAGGATAGATGGAGGGGGAGGGGGTTTCATCAAAAGCAAGACGAAAAACAGGCTATAAGATGATACCCAAAACTCTAAATGCCCGAAAATTGACGAAGGCCTGATTTCAGCGAGTCATGATATATACATGTCTTATGACCCTGATACATTAATAAGAATTGCCAACACAAGAAATATGCAATCATGATGGCTTAATGTCTTGAACAGTCCCAGATTTATTTTCTCTTCCTCTAGACTAGTACATTGGTGTCTGCTTTAGCTCTGTGCATGCTGATCAAAGGACTCCAGTGCAGTCTCCATGCCGATTCATGTTTTAAGAGTCAATGTAGAATATCTGTCATCGTGCAGAACAGACCCGCTTTTCAGATACTGTGTGCATATTTTTGTTCTGACAACGTCGTCATGTACTTTTCCTTCTTATTTTTTTAATAACGTTGTGTACTTTGTTTGATAAGTAAGTTCGGCCGCTCTGCTACTTTTCTTCCTGAACCTTTCAGACTTTTGAAACAGCTTTATGAACGCCATAACCAGATGTCTGGTGAATTATAGCTTAAAAGAATTTAAAAAATAGAAGAATTATAAAGTGAAAACGCTTTTTGCCTCTCCTGAAAAATTTGCCTCCAACCCGGGCAGAAACATTTGTCGTTTTCCCTTACGACGGCATTGCTGGTCTCACCCAACCATGCAAATCTCTCAGGAATTGAACAAATTTGAACATTTTTCTGGAAATCAAAGTGTCAATTTTTATTATATTATACTGTACATGTAGCTTCATGCTTACCTCTGCATGGAATAGGCACTCAGCTCAAATACATTATGAAATAGACAAAAACACAGCAAAATAAAACAAATACTATCAATAATGATTTATGTTCTAACCATGCATTTTTTCCCTGTTTATTTGCAGGTTGTAAATAATATAAGTGAGCCGCTGGATGTGGAAGAATTGAGAGAGTTCAAAGTGCAAAGAGCTCTGGAAGTTGAGGAGGAAGAGAAAGAACTTGAAGAGCTGCGATTGTCGAAGATGTTGAGATTGTAATGTTTGTTTTAAGATAAGTTTGTTGTGATATAGGTGTGCTTGCGTATGTTGAAACTTCTGTGAATGAAATAGGCAATGAGTGTCAGGGATATTGTTGTTTTTAATATTTCATTTTTACCTCCAGAATGAGATAAGGATGTGTCTGTATGTTCTAGAAATGCTGTGTGAATTGGAGGGGAAATGGCATGACAGTGTTTTAAAAAAGAGTCGATGTGTGAAAATGAATCAAAGATGAAGAATTTACAGAATGGTATTTCATGAATTCATTTATGTAGACTACTTTATAAAAACATAGTCCTATTTGCTTTCTCTGAATGTTTTTCTGTGAATGTAAGGGAAAATAGATATAGACATCTATTTCATGGAAGCAAATTCAATCTTTAGGAAAAATATGGACAATTTTTCTGCTTTCACAGATATCCTAGTTTAGCATTTTTGTGCTAAGTTGACAAATAATTGACTAGGGCAAAAAGTTCTGCTGAGTTGTTACTGTCTGGTTTTGAGTGAATCTATTGCCTACACATGGACAATAAAAAGTGATTGCAGTTGTGTAACTGTAAGTTTCTCTGTTTTTAAGCCTCATCGTTTGTGTGAATATTTATTACTTGTCAAATAATGCATGTTGGTGTTCTTCAGGTTCTAACATATATTTAAATGCATTGCATTTGTAAAAGTAAAAACACATAAATTAAAATTTAATAAACAAAGAGCTATAAAGATACATTTAAGTTCAATCTGTCTTTCAGTCCTTCTCATCTGCATAGGATGCCTCGCCTTCTGTGCAAGGGGTGGGTTTAAGACCTGAGATAGACTCACTTCCTGTCCGAGAGGTCCCCTTGTGTTATTTCTCCCCCCCCCTACCTTCCTGGTGTAGAAAACGGGACACGTTCCAGCCCTATCTCTGTCTATGGACCTTTTCCCTCAGTTATAGGATTAGAACATAAGTGTCAATATGTTTTATGCTTCAAGCAGCACAATGGAGATCTTTGAGAAGATGAATTGCTTTTACTTTGACCCTGCTTATCAGGGCCAACCCAAGCTGAATATGTTTATCTGTCCCCGTCGTTTTATGCGAGAAAAATTATGAAATTTTGCAAACTGAGCCCAAAAATGTTAAATTATGCGATTCTGTTAATTTTAACAAAGAATGATAAAGGAAAATAATAAGAAATTATGCAAAAAATTATCAAATTTTGCTAAATTATGCGGGTTGCATAAAATCACGGGGACAGGTTTATGATACAGCTTCATACAGAAAGGCGAAGATATGCAATAACCTAAACTTCCTCATGCAGAAATGGAAATATAACTCCCATTTTCTGTGTGCACCAGGCAGAGCCTCACTACTTCTATATAATAATGAATAATAATAATAAATAGCATTTGTATAGCGCATACCCCCGCTCAACAGTCAACAGCAAGCTCTATGCGCTTTACACTATATTAAAACACTTGGATATAAAAAAAACAAACCCTGAAAAACAATGAACCCCCCACAGACAATGTTTACAGTACAAAAACAGCATAAAAGCTTTCTTACCACTGAGCAGCTCTCATATATTACACCAGAGACACTGATACTCTTTACTGACATGTATCAGTAATTTAGAACGTGCTTGTAGTGGCATCTGTGGTGTAGTAGGTTGGTGTTGTGCCATCGCATGCAGAAGACATGAGTTCAATTCCCATGGCAGGTCAGCAGACTAAGCCTGATTCCCTGTAAGGACTTCTCTGTTAAAATCCACCCCTTGGCGCTCATATGACCTTAAGCAGTTGCGAGCACCGTAAAACCTCTACTAAAACAAAACAAAACAAACAATTCCTATGGGGGTAAAAATGTTATCTAGTATCTCGACTGTCTCTCTCCTGGGACGTTGTGCCTTTCTCTGCCCAGGTTGGCCCTGACTGGCGGGGTCAAAGCATTCCGCCTCATGATGTAAATTGTGTCAATGTGGATGTTAAACAATATATCTACTCTACTGTTACTATTACTATAATAAATGGTTGTACTTTGTACAGATAGATGGTTTATAAACATTTTGTTTTACCCCAATTGATACGATGTAGATCATTACAAGTCAGGTGGTTAGTCATTAAGGTATTTTCTAGATACAAAACAGAGCACTGCTCAGTGGTGACCCGCTTTTATGCTATTTTTATACTTCAAACATTGTCTGTGGGGGGTTCATTATTTTTCGGGGGGGGGGGGGGGGAATGTCCAAGTGTTTTAACTTATTTTAAGCCCCCATTTACACAATTTAATTTAAATAAATAAAAAGAAGTGGGGATTTGGACCCTTCTTGTCATGGCCAGCTCAGGCTGACTGAGAAGGACACAATGTCATTACAGAAACAGATACATGTATTTGATAGAATTTCTCATCTCCATGTGGGAATTGAACTTGGGTCACCTGTGTGTGATAACAAATCTGAGAACCGCTACACCACAAACGCTGGTAAAAATATCTGTATAAATGTAAAATTGTGTTTTATGAGATTGAGAGGTGGGTCTAACGTCCAGTATTCAGGCATTGAAGTTGCCACTGCAAACCAAATTTTAGTTCGAGGTCAGCACTGGTAGGTCTTACTTCTTTTCTGTTCCTTCACTGTTCTGTCTGTCTATCTGTCAGTTTGTCTGTCTTCTTTCCATGTGTTGATAAGCTAGTATTGTGTCGATGTGCTTCTCTTTTCTCAAAGACTCGATGAAAAACAAATGTCGACATCGGGGTAAAAAATATAATACCGGTATTTATTTATCCTTGTTGAGAAGACACAAAGCTAGCACACACTTCCTCTGTGATTACATTTCATTTAGGTTTTCTGCCTGTTTCTAGAAGTTCTTCTGGACGACTTGCATATTATCCTCTTGCCCTTTTTGCCGACCTTCTTGCACAGATTGAATTTCCGGGTCGGCTTGTATTTTCGCAGCAGTTCCCATTGTCCATCCTCCTCCTCTTGGCTTGACAACAGGCCAGACACAGACTGAGACAGAGAAAACATCAGTCATGAGATGTGGCTTTGATTTTGTGTGGGTTTTGCAGGCTACTACAATTTCAATTTTTCAACTTGTATCTACACTTACAAGTATTTCAATAAATATCTTTTCTGTCAAGCCACAGAAAAAAATTTCCTTTAGGGACAATATAAAGTATTATGTCGTTTTGTCTTATCTTATCTTACTACTTCTCACTGAAAAAAGGGAGAAAAAGAGGCAGAGGTAGACCAAGAACAGTTTACTTAGAAATCTTGAACAGATGGATGAAAAGGAAAGACCAGGATGGTACTATTATTGACACTGACTGATACATGTATAATATACATCGCAATTTTTTAAAGAGCATTTGAGCATAGAAGTGAGTCGTGACCCATGCCATGATTTCCGATGCCTGCTTCTGATTTGGCACTTGACGGTAAAGATTGAAAAGGTTGGTCTGTGAACTGTGACAAATTACGAGATAAACCAAAAACCAAGAAAAAGTACAATGAAAAGGAAAGAAACGACATGACATGACGTGCAATCCTCACTTTCTTGAAGTCCTCCCAGCTGCTGTGGTCAGGCAGGTAGGACATGGCCTCCTTGGCAATCTCCTCCAGTTGGACCACCAGGGGGCGCATGTCAGGCACGCGATCCAAACTATGCAGGTCAAAGGGCAGAGCCAGCTGAGTTTGGATCTCTCCTTGTTCTGGCAACCACACCGTGACTCGGTTCTGATAGAGCATGGTCCAAGCTATGAGCTCTTTGAGTTCCTTTTCCACGATGTCTTTCGTCAGGTTCATGGCGTGTTCGAAATTTGTCTCCAGGTTTTCCGCCACGTTCCAGTATTTGAAGGCCCAGGCGCCCTGGAAAGGAAAGAGAGATAGAGAGAATTGAAACCTTTTTCGGCATTTCAGAATGTTGTTCTTGTTTTTCATTTTTTAATTACCCATGTCCGTCTTGAGCAAAGGAAATGTTGGCATTCTTGGTTTCAGCACATTCATGTTACTATTGCGATCGAAGAAAAACTGATGACTGTGAAGGGGAGTGGGTGGGG